TGCTGGGGCGGGGGTGAGGGGACATATTTCAGCTAGTTATTGTACTGACTTCTTGGAACCGTTTCTTAATTGGCGTGCCAGATGTGTTACACAGGTCTCACCGAGTCACTGAGTTCTTTCCACAAGACTTGCCCGCATATTTATCAGCTTGTAAATGAATGTTCAAGTATATCACTTAGGTTCATTTGATTAACACAAGCAAGGGTTGATTATAGTAAATAAATGCTTGTCGAATAGCACATCAAAGAAATGTGAATATTCCTACACTCCCCAGACTCTGCTTGGCTGAGGAAGGGCAGTTGAAGGCGTGGATAATAGAAATGGTTTTGACACTGAGCCAGAAGTATCTCTGTAACGTGAAGCCTTCCAGGACTCTTCCCTTCCCCTTAAACGTTTCTCTGCTGCTGCCCCGAATGGCTGCTGCTTCCATCTCTGTTGCTGCTGGTGCCGTTGGCCTAGTACAGCTTAGGCTTCTCAGCAGCTAGAGCTGACTTAGTTGGTCTCCTAGCATTCAGTGAGTGACTTGGTTGCTTTTTTAGCACCTCCAATTAGCCTTGCTGATGTGAACGGTCACTCTCTTCACCAGCATTAAAACTTAGTAATCTTCTAAAAGGGGAAAATCATTTTCTTTTTGTTATCCGTTTCTTCTGCTTAAGGAATTTGGAAAAGATTCTCCAGGACCAGGCCTGATACATTGGAGTGGTGTGGGCCAGTGTCCTAGCTGAAACGGACCTCCCGGAGCTGAGATGAAGCTCAGGGCTGTGATTTTCTCCCGTGAGAGTTCGTTCCCTGGATATTCATGGAGGAGTCGGAGGTGCTTGTCCTTCTCGTGTTTAAGCCCCTTTTAGCACAGGTGGGCCAGGGTACAAACTTGGCAGCTGGAAAGCCTGAGTTGGAGGCCTCGCTCTGCGGCTCACTCACTACCTTTGTGTCTGAGCAAATTCCTTCAGCTACTTAGTGCTTCAGTTTCCTCGTATGTAAAGTGGAGGTAAAACTACCAATCTCTTAATGTTGCTCTGAGGTTTAATGGAAATATGGTCTGCTTGGTGCAGTCTTGGCATACGATAAAATGCTTACTAATTGTTAGCTATAGCTATTGTTATGATATATTTTTTTATTGTTATTACTTTCCATGCTTTCCCATCTGCACCAGTCTTCTGTAATACCAGGCTTGTAGAGGTGTGGTACAGTAATATTTCCCTCTCTGGAATTGTCCTTCTGTGAATTTTAACATCATTTGTGTGATTCTCTGCCCTGCCCCACCCCCTCAACAGTGCCGGTGCCAAACTTTTTGCTATGGAAAAATCACAGTGAAAATAGAATAGGCAAATGAGTGTATATCATACATCTTCTTTACATTTTAATTCAATTGAATATCTGAGGCAGGACAATTTATAGTTTGGTGAAAGTTTAATTTTCAAACTTATTGGTTTGATTTTCAAACTTAATGGCCATATAAGAATATTGAAGGAAGAGTTGCTGTCATTCTTTGTTGGATCTCAAGAGCACTAAGGCATCATTCTTGCCCTCAAATGGATTAAAATCTGTTTGGAGAAATGAGACAAATGCATATAAGACAGGATCGTTTATGGTTAAAAGTGCCAAAGTATCAAGTATAGTTGTTAAGATAAATTAAGTGAGATCTAGGCTGGTGTAGTTTAAAAGCAGATCGTGCTTAATCTCAGCCCTTGAAGGATGTGTAGGGTTTGGTTGGTACAGATTTTGAGGAAGGGCTTTCCCTGTAAGAGTGGGAGAATTTTGATAGTGGGATTCTATGCTGTGGTTTAAAGGAGCAGGGAACCTCTGGCTGGCCAGCCCCTCCACTCTCACCCCATCCGCCCGGCCACGTTTTAGTCAACAGCCAACTCCCTCTTGATGTGTTTATCCTTTTTTCCCCTCCTGAATTCTTCAGGGATTTATTTGGCCTCTTTGCCTTTTTCACGCAGCTCTGTGCTCTTCTTTCCCACTTCCATTCTTTAGTATAACAGAACACTTCCCCCATGCCTTCCCTAGCCTGGTGTTTCTGAAACATGGACACAAATAACATTTTTTAAAAGAGGTTATTATTTGCAATAGTAAGAGAAATAAGGGTCAACAAGAATAAAAAGAATCACAAATATAATCTTAAAATAGCTGTGGTAGGTTGCTACTTGATATGGACATAGTAGTGGTCTGTCTTCTGGATTCCGTTATGGGAGTCTCTTCTGGTTCTTGTCTTTGGTCTCTCATTTCTCCATCCTTTTTCTGCAGCTGACCAAGGCACTGACTTGAGCCTGAAGTTAGCTGACTGGGCGTCACTTCCAGCTGTGGTGTGATTCTCAGTTCTTTTCAGGACCAGCTTCCTGATCTCTTCTGGTGTATTCCCTTTGTTACCTCAGGCTGCACTGTTCATCACTTAGGTTCTTTGGCTTGTCCCAACATTTTTGGGCCCCGGGAGCCTTAGCTGAGCCACAGTTGGCTTTCAAAGATTCTTCCCTTAGGCTTCATGCCATCAAACACTGACCCATCCTCACTCATTCTCTCCTTTGCAGGGAAGGTCTCCTTAGCCTTGTATTTGAAGTTGCTATCTGGTTCAAGTCTTACTAGCATCTGTGGGACCTTGATAATGAGAACCATCATGCTATTTATTTTATTTTGCAAACCCTTCCATAGCATTTTTAATGTTAAAGGCACATTTCTAAGTGCTTGTGAAAATTAACTCATTTAATCCCGGAGGGAGGTTGCCAACATTATGTCAGTTCTCACTGATTTAAGCCCCTGACACACTTTAATTTCTTACACTTTCGAAGACTTTTGCCCTCAATAGATCTTAGAGTGGGTTCCTGTTTAGTTTGAAGATGCCTCTATTATTAGAGTTTTGAAAAAGCAGTTTATGGTCTTAGTCTTTGCTCAGAGTACTAGCTTGACCCACTTCTTTGACCGGCCCCAGTAGCAGAATTCAATATCAATAAAATATACTGATTCCACTAGAAAGGAAAAGGAAAAAAACCCATAATTTCTTTTAACTAGATAAGACTTTTGTGAAACCAGGAGTCTATTTTTTATTATTTTAAATGGAGTAAATTAAATTATAGGTCAACCCAAAACCCATAACCAATTTACTAAAATGTAACTAAATACAGTAAAATGCCTATATTAAAGTCACAAACCATCGTATTAGGATATAAATTGTTTAAAATGCTCTTCCTGATTGTTAAGCAATTAATCTGATTTTTAACAAACTCTTGTAGTATATGTAGCCACAGATACAGGTTGGTATCAGCAACACGTAAACAGCATGTTTCCCTAGTTGACGTTTGGACATTTTCAAAACATTGACATGTGATTGACAGTCTGCCAGTTTTATTTGGAATATGACTTGAGATCTTTCTCACACACCATTTTGTTAAAAATATTATATTTAATTTTGGGAAGGTAAATACAAATTTTTCTCATGTAAACACTGCGCCTTTCCCCTCCTCAGAAAAACTTATATGGTGATATACGTACGTTCTGTGAAATCTGGATGGTACCAGCCAAGAGGTATTCTACCAGAAGCAGGTTAACCCAGGGGGTATTTTATGGCTTGTGCTTATAACTGACTATTGTAAAATTAAAGCATAATTTTAAAGTCTAGGAAAATCACATTTTAAAGCCAAATGTAAGTGGATTTTACATTATTTCATGACTTTGGGATGGTCTGTCATATTGTTATTCAGAGTAGACAAGAAATATTGACATTTGTCTGAGTTAAGGAATTTGAACGAAGAGTCTGAGTATGTGCCTTCCCAAATGTGATTTAAGTAAATTAGCTTTATTTTTTTTTCATCCACCTTCTTTAATGTTAAAATTTTTATTATCCCATGTTCTCTATCTTTTCCTAGTCTACTAAATTATATGTTTAGAGCTTGAAAAACAATGTGAAAGCACTTGTAAGAAGATTACCTCACTTTTCCAATCTACTAGTCACTTTGTATTCCCTGAGGGTATTTTAATTTTTTAAACATAGTAAGCAAGTTGTTTCGTACTCTGATAGATAATTCTAATATCTGAAACATTTGTGGATCTGTTTATGCTGATTCTTAACTCTTGATGGCTTGTTCTTTGGGGGGTTTGTAAGACTTTTTCCTTGTTTTTATTTTTTTTTTATGTTTTTCCCCCTGTAGTCTGCTCGTTATCCTTAATGATTATTCGTAGGGATTATTTGAGCCTAGGATGAAAGTGTCTTCCCCAGAGGGGAGTACCTGTGGGTAATTTCAGTGTGACACCACCTCACACCATGATCAGAGTTTAGGTGCCCTGGCACACTCAGGTGATGGGAACTCAGGCTGCACAGAGGTTTGTTTTCTCTCCTTCTTCCCTCTGTTCTGCTCAGTGGCCAAGGCCAACCTCCCTGCAGTCGAGAGGAGCAGGGTGGGATTGCTTCCGGTTCACCTTTATTCTGAGTAGTTGGGACCCAGCTTCCTGGGGGAGGGTATGTGACTTTGGTGTTCTGTGCTCTGCTTCTTTATGTTTTTGGTTTTCCCTAATTTTCCCTGGTTGTTTCTTGCTATCTTATTTTTAAGGAGATGTCTTTTTTTTTCTACTTTATCCAATTATTTTAGTTGTTTTCAGTAGGAGAATTGGTCCACATAACCCAACCTACCATTACTAGAAGTGGGAATCTTCCTTGTTTTATCTTGAACAATCCTGTGAGGTTCGCCTGCGGATATGTGACTGGGCCACTTTGACAGGTGAGAGAACTGAGGCTGAGTGTAGTGAGTGACTGATTGAAGATCATACAAGTAAGTGGCACAGCCTGGAACCCCTGAGTCTGAGTCTTCCTTTCTACCTTTGAGCCTTCTGCTGGGTGAGTCTCAGAATTTTGAATAAAGCAGGCAAATGTTGAGGAAGTTTTTTAAAATATGTAATACCTTTACAAAATAGTTTAAACTGTTGACTGATATGGATTATATTGGTGCAACTTTTTCCCGATATGTCCTTTTAGATGGAAAATAATAATTGCTTTCTTTTTCTTTCAGCTGAAGTGAGTAGTGAATACAGTATGGACAGGGCAATGGTTGAATTTGCTATGATGGATCGGGAACTAAACCATTATGTCAAGGCTGTTCAGTCTGCGATAAATCATGTAAGTTTACACCACTCTCCTGTTTGTATTTGGTTACAACTCACTGAGCTAGAAATAGAAACACAAAATCAAAATTCTTCTCTAACCTTTAATATTGTTTTATCCTTACTGCAGCAGCTATTAATTTCTTCTTAATCAGGAAGTTCGTAGAATAGTAATCTTAAATAGTTTCCCAGCTAGGCCACCTATGTTTAATTAGGATATTACATCTATTTTAGATTTTCTTGCTTTTTTTTGTCTTGAAATTTTTAGTCTAAGCCTCCTTTGAATGTGAGTAGATTTTTATAAAATGCTAAAAATTGCATAGAACTTGTTTTTATTGTTATATTTACTTAAGCCTACAATTTAGACCAGGTTTAGTTACTCATTCTCCAGCTTTAACTAATATGCAGCTATTGCAAAATTCATAGAATCAGATAATGTGGAAGAGTTTTAGAGCAAGTTTAAAAATAAAGAAGGTTGGCATTTTGGTTTTTCCAGAAGGCAAACTTATCTTTGTTGACTCCAGCTGTCACAGGAACAACACATAAGGCAGTTAAGGTGGGAACATAGCGACATCCTTTTCAGCAGTACCGTGTTGAGTAAGAAATGAGCAATATGATTGCAGTAATATTTCTGAGAAGTCCTTTGTCCTCTGAGCAGTGGAAACTCCCTTTTGAAAACTGATTTCATATACCTGTGTAATAGGATGGCTTGTACTTCTGGTTTCTTTATTTGACTTTTCTACTTATATCTATGGGAAAATTCCAAAAATCAAATATTTTACAAGATTGGCTGCTATTCAGTGGAAGGTAAATTTTTAAATATGGTTTAATACTTACACTAAAAAGAGTATTACATAGTTATATGTTCATGGTTATATGAAGTTTTTCTGTTCTTTTTTCTTGTTAAAAAATTTTTTTAATGGTTAGTATTTATTAAGTATAGTGTTTGTGATTAACTTAAGAATGTCTGCTTATATCCAAGTGATAAACTCATTCAGTTTGTAAAATTCTGATATTTATAACCATTGTGACTTTTAGTCTTGGTACTATGAATATTTCTTCCATAGGAAAATATGAAAATGACATCATATTAGAGCATTTGAAACTGGATGACAAAGCCAGACATTTTCAGCTCCAGCTGACCTCTAGAACCAGCCAATCCCTACACTAAAGAGATTCTGATTTCATTGGTCTCAAGCAGGATTGGGGCACCAGTATTTTTAAAAACTAGTTCTAATATGTATCCAGAGTTGAAAACCACTGACTAAAAAGAACAAAGTTGACTTTATAGAATAAAGTATATTTGCTACCAAAGATCAGAGTTAGGCCTATTATATAGATTGATCTTGCTTTGACCATTACATTCTGTGGAGGGAATTTGATAGACCTTTCTATCTTTAATTTTGATGCTGTGCAAATGTAACAGCACAGTGTACATTATAGGTAAGAAAACCAGGGCCGGCTCCGTGGCTTGGCGGTTAAGTGCGCGCGCTCTGATGCTGGCGGCCCGGGTTCGGATCCCGGGCGCGCCCCGGGGCACTGCTTCTCCGTCCAACGCGAGGCCGAGTCCCACATGCAGCAACTAGAAGGATGTGAACCTATGACATACAGCTATCTACTGGGGCTTTGGGGGGAAAAAAATGAATAAATAAAATCTTTAAAAAAAAAAAAAAGAAAAGAAAACCAGATTTTGGAAGTTAAAGAATGTGGATTTTTTTTTTTCTATTAAACTCTAGGATTCACAGATACTTCAAGTATTTTTCTATAAAGAATTGAACTCTTCCCCTTTCCCAAAACTGTCGCTCATAAAAAAAGTCAACAACAAAGAAACCGTCACCCTCACCCACATTCAGTAGTTGACAGCATTTCTTTCATCTTGAGGCCTCATCCATTACCCCCACCCCACTAAATAGGAAAAATTATACTTTAAGTTTTATCCGATTTTTCAGCCCTAACCTCACTCTAGACTAATGGAGCAACTTGATTTAGTGATTCTAGTGCTTGTCAGGAAGTTTCCTGGTCTTTTATAAGAGGAGAAAATATGTTTATTTTCCTTTTCTGATACAAAATTGTGCTCTCTGTGTTAGATTGATACAAGACCAAAAATAGTAGATCATAATTTTATAAGGTTTCTAAGACCTGAAACCATATGGGGACATAGTGAGGATATAACCATTATTTTGAGGGAAATATTTTACACTCTTTGTATACTGTATACTCTTTACACACTTGAAGTTATGGACATTGCTATCTTATTCCTTGCTTTGGTGAGGGATAAAGAATGAACAGCAGCTTTAGGGGCCAGGATAGTGTAGTTCTTTAGAAATAGCAATGGTCTAGGAGTCAGAAACCCTTCCAACTCTTAATTCCTCCACTTTCTAAGTTATGATCCTGGGCTTAGAAATGTAACCTCTTGGACTTCATGTTCTTCGTCTATACAATTCTTGGCCTACCTATTTCACAAGGTTATTATGTGAATCCGATTAGATACTGTGATACAATTTGACAGTCATCAAATTTGATAGAGATATAGGATACTATGTTATTGCAAACTCAGATTTCCAAACATATTCGGTAGAAAGGTGGAACAAGATCTTTCTTGAAAACAAATACTTTGCTTTGTTCGAAATAAAACTTTTATTGGCTTTGACCTGTCCTACTCTGGAATTCAAGAGTCATATGGGATTAGACATAAGCTAGTTAAGTTACAATGCAGGTGTTCATGACTTCTAAAACAAAGAAACTGTTTTAAGTCAGATTATTAAGAAAGAATACAGATAATAGGAACACATATGGGTCCCATTTAACTTCCACTCTGTCATAGACTTTTAAGAGCTACAGTATTTCCATTACTTTATCATTTGCCCAGATTCTGATCCACTCTGTAGTCTTTCTATTTATGAATTTTTCATATAGTCACAGTAAGTTAAAAAAATTTTTTTAATCATCAAAGAGCATTAGAGTTTATTATTTAAATAAACGTCTCTCTCCTGCTCTCACCTTCACAGAATTCTGAAGGCTATGTATGTCTGAAGTTTTGAGCAGTTTACTTTGGAACCTTAGAGGTGTGGGTCAGTTTACCAGCAATCCCTGGGAAGTCCTTCTCGCATCCCGAAGAAGCTCTCAGATTGCCCTTCTTTGTCCTTTGAGAAAATAGAGCTACCATATTCTACAATGCCTGAAAATTTTATTTGGAATCAGTATTTGTTTCAGTGCTCCGAAACTTAAAAAATAAATTAGGACTTTTCTCCAGCTAGTTTGTAGAGGGCATATTATGCAGTGAGCACTGAAAGATTCCCAGATAATCTATAAGTCATTTCTAGAAACTTTCAGGATAAATGGGTTGTATACCTGTCACAACTCCTTAAAACATTCATATGGAACTGCAGAGTTCTGTATGAGCTCTTTGGAGACTTTCTGTCATGAGACTATATATGTGATGAAAGTGTTTTGAAAGCTATAAAATGGCACACAGATATACTGTGGTCCAGTCACCACTTTTATCACCGTTACTGCCAGGGAAAAACTTTTTTGAGTTTCATGTTGAGAACAGAGTCAAGCTCTAAACATTAGACTTTTGATGACCTAATGTTTCTTCCCTTGATTTCTAAGCTTTTATTATTTGAGTATATTGAAGAGGCACCATTGGCTGGCGTTTTGTTCTCCAATGTTCATTGAATAAATATTTACTAAACATCTATTTGCCAGCTACTTCTAGGTGCAAGACAGAGGAAGTCAATCAGCAAAGCCCATGTGACCTTCACCTTCAAGATGTCCGAAGTCTAGAGAGGGAGACAAATGTTTAACAAAGAACAATATGGATGTTATTTAGTGACTGTTGAGGTGTGTGCTACAAAGGGAGAATAAAGTGTTCAAGGAGAGTTAATAACTCAGGGGGCATAATATCTGCTGGGGGCTTGGGGGACTCCTTCTCCTGAGGAAGTGATATTTAATCTAAGGTGCAAGTCAAATGAGCCTCAACATGGGAATCGAGATATATAACTTCTGTGTTTATGTGACTTTTGTATGAAATGGAAGCATCTTTTTTCTGATTGTCTCAGTGTCAGAGTTTCAGGATGCCTTGATCAGTCCAAAGACTTAATTTGAAAAAATTAGGCCAGAGAAGGCCTACTTGTATATATAGAAAGTTTAAGTATACAGAGTAGTTGAGTAACCCACCTCAGGTTGGTCAATGATTCATTCATTCACAGATAGTTGAGTGCCTACTGTGTGCCAGGAACTGTGCTTAGCAGTACAAGTCACGGCTGTAGTTTATTTAAGAATGATGTTATTACTGATATTCTGCTTCTCAAGTCACTTCACTAGTCAAACAGGAGTTATCCCTCTTGAAACAAGACTTTTTATCATGTTTTGCATAAACAGTAATACTGTGTATTTCTGATTCTGTGTTTATGTGATTGTTTAAAATAAAACCTATAATCTCATTCTATGGGCTTCAAATTCCAAAGGGTGGGCTCCAGTTTAGTTCAAGGAATCCTCAGATCCATTTTCACTTATGTGTTTTTTCAAGTAAGAGACAATAAAGAGTCCAACCACTATCATGGGGGTCGTCCTTGCAACTTTTTTTTTTCCTGAGCTAACATCCATGCCAATCCTCCTCTTTTTGCTGAGGAAGATTGACCCTGAGCTAACATCCGTGCCGATCTTCCCCTACTTTATATGAGACGCTGCCACAGCATGGCCTGACAAGCAGTGCATTGGTGCGCGCCCAGATCCAAACCCCGGCCGCCAGCAGCGGAGTGCACGCACTTAACCGCTGCGCCACGGGGCTGGCCCATTGCAACTTTTCAATAACCTTAATTCTCATAGTGAAGAAGGATGGGCACCACAACGCTAAATGATAAATGGCCTAACAGGTTCATATTAGTTTCACATATTATTAGTCAATGATAAAATATACATCCTCTCTGCTTTTTGATGAGCAGTTTAGTCAATGATAAAATATACATCCTCTCTGCTTTTTGATGAGCAGTCTAGTCCTAAAAAGTTTAAAAA